AAAGGATTAAAGATTTTTATTACAGACAAAGATGGAAAGCCACAAGATAAAACCATGAATGTTGTTTACAAGCAGGTTTTCCAAGATTTGTTGGATTCTTTTGTTTCAATTGAACAATCTCGGCATTCATCTGTGATGTACGCTTGGTGTTTTTTCTTCTATTTGAGATGATCTTTGTTCGTTAATCCCAACTACGTTCGTGTTGTTTACTCTTTTAAGGTACTGTATTTGTTTTAAAGCGTTATGCATTTTCTTTATTTGGGAAAGGATAACCATTACAATATATTTAATTTATGTTCGGTTCTCTCTAATTTGTTGTTTAACCAATATTAATACAAGTTCAAGAAATAACCAATAATTACACCAGCGATTTATACTGGCACCCTTAATTGATTTTAGTATTCTTATTAGATTAGCAGATATTGATACTTTACAATCCGATAATTGATTTTAGACTTCTTAATATATTGTTAGATTGATTCCTTTAGCTACTATAATTGATTTAAGTAATAAGGTAGATATTATAGTTTCCTGTGTGAATGTCAATCTTTGTGATTTTTGATTGTCTTAGACTGCCTAAAATTTTAATATGATTTATTCCCATAATATTGTTTAAGTGTTCTTTTTTCCTTGAAAATCACTGTTCAAGTTCGTAAAAACAAAAAAAAAAAAACATTTAATTGTTCTATTAATACATTACTCTCCCTGTACAAACTATTATCACACAACGTTAGAACCATTTCCAATCCATTACAATGTCTACCTTTACGCTTCTCTCTGACTTGAAACCATCCATAACTATCTCTCTCATCCGTGTTAAGGTCATCAGAAAATGGAGTACAACATTTGGATTAGATTCCTCCAAATCGCTAATGGTTTTGGGAGATGAGAATGTAAGCAACTTAATTTCTTGGAATTTAATGGTTTATAAATGCAAGGGTTCAACAATTCAAGCAACCATCTACAAGGACTTCGTACAAACTACGCAAGGTATTTTAAAAGAAGGTGAATGGTTTGAGATATCGAACTTCAAAGTAATTCACTCTGACGACATTACAAGGACAGCCAGGAACAAATACCAAATCAACTTCAGCAAGTATACAGTTATTTCAAAGATACATCAAATAACCGAAAATAACTTTTTCGGGTTTTGTTGATTATCAAAAAAATCCTAAATGGACTTTGTCACCCAAGGTACTCAGTTGGTGAGTTCACTTTTATATATATATATATATATATATATATATATTAGCTAGGTTATTTAAATATTTTATCTGTTTATTCTTATTTGCTTCAAATATATCTACAAATTTCGATAACCATATTACACTGTGTTTTATTTCTCAACTAGACCTCTATGGAGCTTTAGTTAATGCTGGCAATCTTGAAGTTATTCAAGAGGATCCATATGGCGAGATCTATGGTGAAAAAAAACAGGAGAATTCAGTTTTGTTTAAAGAATATTAAGTGAGTAACTTGCTCAAGTACTTATTTTTTTTTACAAGACTATAAGAGTTCTATATATCCAACGTACAACTAAATAAATTTGATATCATTATAAGGAAGATGAAGTGAAGTGTGTTGCATATAAAGACCTTGCGGATGAGTTATATAATTTTTGGTGGTCTACTAATAAACAGATTGTCATTTGTGTTTTACAATATTAGAAAATTGAGTGGAAAGGTTAATTTTTATAATCCGCATTTTTATTTTACTTTTTGTTTGAGTATTGTTTAGCTTTTTATAATTAATAAACATGAATATTTGATTTTTTTTGAATTAGGTGGCTTTAATCAAATATCTCGACTTCTCTTTGACCATGATATTCCAGAAACAAAAGCTTTCAGATCGATGTAAGCGTAATCATTTAGTACTATTTTTTAGACAGTCGTTTTAGCTAATATATAATGAAATCTTTAATCATTTGCAGGATTCCATATAAATGAGGCTACCTAAATCATACAAATTGCTCTAAAGATGGATATCTTCGGTAATATTCAGCCAAGTTAATTTTTTTCTCTATTTTAGTTTTAATAAATGTATGATGAGGCCATCCTCATATGCTAATATTTATCAATTCATGTTATTACTTAAAAATTTATGGTTATATTATTTTATTTCTTTATCTATGTTTTATAACTATTATATAATTTATAATTATATCCCATTATTCTTTTAAATATAATCTTTTTTTTAAACAAATTTATAAAAAAAAAATAGATAAATTTCACTCCGCGCAGGGCGCAGGTTACTACCTAGTTATGGGTTAAAAAACTTACGCATGTCATAGCAATGCTATTGAATGTTGTAGCAAGATTAACCATGCAAGGACTATGGAAAATCTCAGACCAATCTGCTGTAACAAACATAGTGTAATTTTAAAAGTAAACATGGTTAAGAACAACTGAATAGAATAAACATTTATGTTGCTACTACCATTATATATATATATATATCATATATGTTAAAGAAGTTGTAATTGCTAAGAAGCAAATATATTGACTTTAAAAAAGTTCAAAGCATACAAGATGGTAATTAAAAAAGTAATTGAGAAAACCAAATCAAACCAAAATAAATATAGTTGATTTTTCAACCAGAAAAAAAAATTTCTAAATAAAATAATTTTTTTTCTTAACTTAAAGAACTTAATTTTGTTTTTATTGTTTACCAATTAATGAATTGTATGTAATATAAAAGAGACTGAATAAAACCAGAATATAAATAGTTTACAATATGGTATCTATTTCTACCAACAGATAGATGAAAAAAATAATAATAAACCACAATTGAATTGAAATCCCAATCAAACCACTAAATTATACCACTCAAATCACTTAAAAATATTAGAATAATTAAAAATATAGAACAAAAAATATTACTATTGTCTCCTTAATACTTTAGTTTTGAAAGTTGTCCTCTTAATACTCCTACAAATTATTTATCATCCTCTACTTTTTAAATCGATTACCTAGAATAATAAAAATTATTAGTATTTAATTTTAATCAAATTAAATTAAAAACAAAAAAGTAACAAAAATTAATTTTACCAAAAAAACTTTGTAGAATCCGTCTCCTAAAAATTGTCTTCTTCGACGAAGGAAATTTTTTTTTTATGCTGATAACTTCTCTGCCGATGTTATCTCCACCGGATCTTCACTCCGGTAATTAGAACAAAAATCAGAGGAAGACATAAAAATTATGAAAAAAACGTGAAAAGATGTGTGTTGAAGGAGGAGAAAAACGTGTAGATGTGGAGAAGAATGAATAACGCCAAAATTTAATTTCTATAATTTTTTTAATAAATAAATTAGGAAAATAAATAATTTGAAAAGGAAAAAGATATATTCTGTAGATTTTCTACACCTGATCTTAAATTTTCAGAGATCTAGTTACCGTTTTATAGAATTAGTATTCTATAATTGTAGAACAAAGAATTTACTGTAGAAATGGAATTTTATTTAAGTTGTAAAAATAAATAGTTAACTATAGAAATATAATTCTACTAAACTGTAAAAAAATAAACATATTGTAAACACGGTTACATAACTTTGTAGAACATAGAGAAAACTGTAGATAACGAATTCTATATATTTCGTAGAAAACTAATGAAATAGTAGATAAACTATTCTATAAATTTATAGATTTATTGAACTATTAATTTTGTAGAATATTTTAAAAAAATTTTTAAAGAAATAGTGTTTGCAAAAAAGTAGTATAAAAAATATTTATCTTTCTTTTTCTAATTTTTCCTAATTTTTTTAAATTATAAAAGTATTTTTTTAATAATTTTCGTAATTATAAAAAATAATATATAAATCTAAAAATGGTAAAATTTGAAAAAGTAATAAAAAGACAATACTATATTTTTTTGTGCGTATAAATATAATTGCCCCTAAAATATTTGACTAAGCGTTCTAAGTATTATGCGTTTTAAAATATTTTCTCTAATTTTTTTACTAAAACGTATTTTTTCCGAACAATTCTTGGGTTCACCCCTAGGGGTGAACCTCTTCATTCACCCCCTTGTTTTTTAACCAATCAAAACATGCTATTTAAGATTTAAAATAAATGAATATTATCTTCATAAAACAATTAAGGTAAGTTGACTTTTTTATCACAGACAATTAAAAATTTAATATTATTCAAATGAAATAATTTGATTTAGTTATTAAAATTATTCGTTTATTTACTTTTTCTTATTTTAACCAATAAAAATCAGCTAAATAATAAAATTAATTAAAGTAATTTATCAAAATAACATATTTTAAATTTTCTTTTCTAATATGAAAAAACTAAACCCTAAATTAAAATAGTGAACCCAAGCATAACATTAAATTTTTTAAAAAATTGAAAAATAAAAACTAAATCCTAAACCCTAATCTCTAAATCCAAACATTAATTTTAATAATAAAAAACAAACATTAAATCCTAAACCCTAAATCCAAATATATATTATTAAAATTAATATTTGGGTTTAGGGATTAGGGTTTAGGAATTAGTTTTTATTTTTTAATTTTTTAAATATTTGGTTTAGGGTTTAGGGTTTAGTTTTTATTTCTATTTTTTTTTTAAAAATAAATATTTGGGTTTAGGAGTTAGGGTTTAGTTTTTTTTTAATTTATATATTACAGTTTAGGGTATAAGGATTATGGTTTAAAATTTAAAAATTAAATTTTGATTTTTTTATTATTAATTCGTTTTTCTATTTTGTTTTTATTTTTATTTTTTTTAATTCACTTTAAATCTTATATGGCATATTTTGAATAATATTAAATTTTTAATTGTCTGTGATAAAAAAGTCAACTTATCTTAATTGTTTTATGAAAATAATATTCATTTATTTTAAATCTTAAATAGCATATTTTGATTGGTTATAATAGAAGGGGGTGAATAACCCAAGAATTGTTCATTTTTTCCACGGGTATGATGTTTTCTCAAATTCACACATAGTCAAAACTCAAAAGTATAAATCGTCTATTCATCAAACAAAGTAGGTGCGGATGAACACTTACTTTGCTTCTGTCGACTTCACGAAAGCTTCTCCCCAGATTCCGATTGCCATGGCCACCGCTAAGACGACGGTTCGCGTCGCCGCTGCTCAGATGACATCCGTCAATGATCTGATGGCCAATTTCGCCACGTGCTCTCGTCTCGTACAAGTAATCAACCCTCCCTATCTCTAAGGTTCATTTCCCGATTCAATAATGGTTTCGATTCTACAATCCAATGTGCTTTTAATCAATTTATACGTTTGCGCATAAATTTGCAAATTTTCTGAGGATTTTGAAGCAATCAAAGAAAAAAGTAAGTGATTGAAATTCGGAAAATAGGATTATTATCGAAATTTTGACTAAATTTCCAAACGTTGAAAAAGGCTGGTTTTAGGAGATACATTATGTGCTTTACTGGTAAAATAGCTAACCGGAGAATCACAAGAACGAGAAAACTGGTAAGCTGAATAAACTGAAACAGATTTGGAAAATAGTTGGATACATAGAGCTACTATTCAGAGTAGATGAGTAAAGTTCTAGACTTTCAAAAATGTGAAAAGTTTTTTACCATTCATCACTAATGTATTGGAACATAACTTCTACTGCAGCATAATGTATATCTAACTCTAGCATTGATTTCGTCTCTGACAAAAAGGAAGCAGCATCGGCTGGTGCAAAGCTGATTTGCTTCCCGGAGAACTTCTCCTACATGGGAGAGAAATCAGGGGACAGCGTACAGATCGCGGAAGCATTAGACGGGCCAGTGATGCAACGGTATTGCTCTCTCGCCAGGTAAGTAATGATGTTCTTAAGGTACATTTGAGACAGTTTACTATATATTGCCTTTTCTGACATGTTTTTGTGTTTTTCAGGGATTCAAATATTTGGTTGTCTCTTGGAGGCTTCCAAGAAAGATTTGATGATACTCATTTGTGTAATACACATGTTGTGATCGATGCAGCTGGAATGATACAAAAGACTTATCAGAAAATGCATTTGTAACTATCTTTGACTCTTGTTCGATTTTAGAAACAGTTGTAGTTGGTTAGAATCACTTAGTGATAACTTCCGTTTTTCGAAGGTTTGATGTTGATGTTCCTGGTGGAAGCTCGTATAAGGAAAGCAGCTTTACAGTTCCAGGTAAACTCTGTTTCTTGTTATCTTTTTGATTAGATGGTCCTTAAGCATTCAGACACATTCATGAGCATTAAGAGTAAGAAAAAAGTTGTTTGGGGAAATGATTTGTAAAATCTCAACATGAAGTTGTATCACAACCTGAGAAGCAATGCAAAACCACCAAGATCTGTGATCAAATACACTTTGTCCGTCACATCATTTTGCTGATAATCTCTAATAGATTGTTTTTCTTGTGCTTCACACTTGATAAGACTTAGGAACTGATTTTTTCAGGGACAAAGATTGTTTCTGTCGAAAGTCCTATTGGGTGCTTAGGCCTTACAGTATGCTACGATTTGAGGTTTCCTAAGATATATCAGCAACTGAGATTCGACCAGAACGCTCAGGTAAAATCCAATGAAATCCAATTATTATGATTTTCGAAACTATAGAGTAAAAACAATGAAACAAGAATGTGATATGAGCCAAAGATCTAGTTTTAGCTCGAGTAATTGGACCCGAATACTTAGACTATGATGAAAGAAGAGATTAAAACTTTGAACTTTCTTTCTCTTAACCCTAGTCTCTCTTAGAGATTAAGGTTAATTGTTGGAAGTTGATTTCTTATTCATCACAAAAACCCTTATATAGGAATACAACTTAAACACACAAAAAAAGCTTAAACCTATTAAAAAGGAAAACATTAAAAACCAAATTGTGAAAAGGAAAATAATCAAAACTCTTATTCTAAATCCTTATATCGTATCAGAATGTGTTAAATCTGAGTTCTACCAGACTTTGAGTATGAACTCTCTTGTCTTAATATGGTTTGTCTTTGTAAACTTAAAAAACCCTGCAGGTTTTACTGGTACCGTCAGCTTTCACCACGGTCACTGGGGAGGCACACTGGGAGATTCTTCTTCGAGCCAGAGCGATTGAAACACAATGTTATGTTATAGCTGCTGCTCAAGCTGGAAAACATAATGAGAAAAGAGAAAGTTATGGAGACACACTGATCATTGATCCTTGGGGAACTGTGATTGGAAGATTACCGGGTGAGAATCCTGACCTAATCTGTCATAACTCTTTCTGATCAAAATGATATGTTTTTGGATATATTTGATAGATTTGTTAATGTTTGCAGATCGTTTTTCAACTGGCATTGTTGTGGCGGAAATTGATTTTTCGTTGCTTGATTCGGTGAGAACAAAAATGCCAATTGATAAGGTAAAATACAGACTTGACAAATGCAGGATGAGATAGAGTTGGAAAGCTAAGGATAAACAATAGAAGTCTTATATTTTTCCATCTTCTTTGTTTTGAAGCAACGGGTCTCGATAGATCTCTAAAGAGCGCTGATAGGCCTCGTAAAGACTGTATGTAAGGAGATATTCTGCAAGGACGCAAGGTGAAGAAGAGCTGGAGTCTGTGGTTACAAAAGAATTGTAAGTAGATTTGAAGGAGAATAAAAATTGAGATACAGTATTGACTTAAATGAGTTTGTATGTGGAAATGTTGAGTTGGTATGATTTGGGAATTGAATGAGATTCAGGTTGTTTTGATGACTGCTGATTGCCGATTGATGTGAGGTTATTAGTGGAGCAGTGCAACAAGGTTCGAATATTCGAATATTCCATTAAGAACGTTCACAGTCTCATCATCACAAGCTAGCTGGAGAGTCAAAAACCTTACGAAGGAGACAATGCGCTTAGGACATCAAGCTACTTCTAGTGCAGTGTCTGCGTTTACTAAAGGAAGAAGGAAATTATCAGACTCTGAGTTTGAGGATCGTCGTAAGAAAGGCTTATGTTTTGAAAATGTGATGTATATATTAGCAGTTGATTGATGGATATGAGGTCAACGTGATGGAAGAAGAACAAACATCTCACTGAACTTGGTTTTGGGGTTGTCTTCACCGACAAGGACAAAGTTGAAAGGAAGTGTAGTGTGAAGAAATTGGAAGTAACTGTTATGATGAACAGTGGAGATACGCATAATTTCAGATCTCTTTCGCGATTGGCAGTGCAGATTTACACGAAATGTCATTTTTGTACAATGGACAATAGGTTACACTAAAAGGTGATTCTAATGGACTAACTTTTCGAGAATTGCCACCAATCAATTTTTTTCCTTCCTTTTAATCATATTAATCAAAGGGTTTGACTGGTATATTTTCTGATTGACAAATAACAGAATAGCTGAATAATAGAAGAAAGAACTGAATTGGATAAAGTTTCAAGAAAACCAGTAAAATTCTCTCTCTCCGTTCTCTCTCTAAAATAATTCACAGAGAGAGTTTTTATTCTTTTCTTTTTCCGATCCAAATCGGATTTCTCTTTCCAAGTAGTGCATCTTGTTTATATATCATCTAGTTGGATTAATAAATTTCTGTTAAATGGAACTCTCTTCCATTATCAAAGTTTCCTTTTACTTGTTTATCTATCAATTCTTCTTTTTTCATAGAGTAAAACACTCTTCGCTAATACTTAGTGGGGTGAAGATTTTTCTCAGGTTGAAGAATTGATTTGGTCTTCTGGCCATAAAGTAAAAGGTCTCAGTTTTTGGAAGGTTTCTCTCTTCTACAGATCAGATCCGGCGTTGAAGATTCTATTTCTTCTCCAAAAATTGGTATCATCTTCTCTTGGCTGGGAGTTATATCTCCCTTCATACCCTCATGATGAACCTTATTAAAGGCGTAGGGTTATTGGTCTAGAGCTCGAGATGATCGGCTTTAATCTTACGGAGGCAAGAAGCTTTTTGATTAATCGGGATCTCGCTGTGGAAGGAGTTTACATGATGGTTTTTGAGGAGGATGATTTGGATCTGTTGAATTTTCAGTTTCAAATTCATCGGATCTTTGGTTTTCCAGAGGAGCTCTATTTCAGTGACGTTGTCGGCGGCGGCATCTCCTCACCGTCCACCAATCTTCTGCCCTAGGCTGACACGCGTGTTATACGTGTTATAAAATTATCCATCATTATCCCATTATGTTAATGGATCAATATTTGGGCTTAAATTGTAATAGCTTTAAACCTCGAAACCATATGTAATGTGCTTATGTGCCCATGTTCGGCTTTTATATAAGAGATGTTTACATTCTATAGCTCTTTTTAAGTTTATATTTACAAAATATAGTACTTTGTTGTGAAAACTTAGAAACTTTATTAATCACTGAAATGTATATATAGAGTACATAGGGAATCTAGATTAAGTACAATGCCCTGATGGGCCTAATGGGCCGGTATAAGAGTCCATATATGATATATGTTATAATACTCCCCCTTGGACGAGTGAACCGGGTCAGCTACTCAATCGGGATCTCGATAATGCGCTGGGGAATGTTGCCTCATTAAAACCTTACCAGGAAAAACCCAGTGGGATAAAACCATGGTGAAGGAAAAAGAGTACAACACGCATTACTCCCCCTGATTGTAGCATCACTGTAGATCTCTAAGTCTATACATTCCTATCTGTTTGACGAGCTTCCGGTGTGTTGAAGTAGGCAATGATTTGGTGAAGAGGTCAGCTGAATTCTCACTGGATCGGACCTGCTGAACGCTGAGAGTGCCGTCCTTCTGCCAGTCTGAGGTTGAGAAGAACTTCGGTAGAATGTGCTTCGTCCGATCTCCTTTGATATATCCTTCCTTGAGCTGAGCTATGCATGCCGCGTTGTCTTCATACATCACCGTGGGCTGTGTGTCTTCGTCCATACCACAATCTCTGCGGATGTGCTGAGTCATGGAGCGCAGCCAGACGCATTCCCTACTAGCCTCATGAATGGCTAGGATTTCAGCATGGTTTGATGAAGTGGCAGTGAGTGTCTGCTTCATTGATCTCCAAGAGATGGCTGTTCCTCCATGCGTAAAAACGTAGCCAGTTTGAGACTTGGCAGTGTGCGGATCTGATAGATATCCTGCATCGGCGAAGCCGACTAACCCATTTTTATTTTGGTTAGTATAGAAGAGTCCTAAGTCTTGAGTACCTCGAAGGTATCTTAGGAGATGTTTTATACCGTTCCAGTGCCTCTGAGTTGGAGATGAACTATATCGAGTGAGGAGGTTCACGGTGAAACATATGTCTGGTCTAGTGTGACTAGCCAGGTACATTAACGCTCCTACAGCACTGAGGTATGGCTTTTCAGGACCAAGGATTTCTTCATCATCCTTTTTGGGACCAAGAGGGTCATCACTTAAGCTTCTAACTACCATTGGGCTGGTCAATGGGTGAGCTTGGTCCATATTAAATCGCTTGAGTACCTTTTCGATATAAGCCGATTGATGCACAAGGATTCCTCCTTTGATATACTCAAGTTGTAATCCCAAACAGTACTTTGTTTTGCCTAGGTCTTTCATTTCGAATTCTGCTTTTAAGCAGTCGACTGTTTGGGAGATCTCACCAGATGTTCCGAGGATGTTTAGATCATCCACGTATAGTGCTATGATTACAAATCCTTTGTTTGAGTACTTCTTGATGAAGATGCATGGACTGATGGGGTCATTTTTGTAGCCTTCTTTGATGAGGTAATCGCTGAGGCGGTTGTACCACATACGCCCACTTTGTTTCAGTCCATACAAGGATTTGTTCAGCCTGATGCAGTATTGATCTCGAGATGCATTTTTGTCTTTTAGTTCAATGCCATCTGGGAGTCTCATATATATTTCGTTGTCCAGGGGCCCATAGAGATATGCGGTTACAACATCCATTAACCGCAGATCAAGATTTTCTCTTATGGCCAGACTTATGAGGAATCGGAATGTTGTTGCATCCACCACTGGAGAATAAGTCTCCTCATAATCGATTCCAGGTCTCTGTGAGAATCTTTGTGCTACAAGCCGTGCTTTGTATCGAACGACTTCACCGAGTTCGTTCCTTTTGCGCACAAAGACCCATTTGTGGCCCACTGGCTTGATGTGTGATGGGGTCCGGATGATCGGACCGAACACGTTTCTGAGTTTGAGACTCTTTAACTCCACGTTTATGGCTTCTTTCCATTTTAGCCAATCTGTTCGATGTGTACACTGTGTTATTGACGTGGGTTCTAGATCCTCTTGTGTGAGCGCAACATCAAGTGCTACTTTGTATGCAAAGAGTGCATTTAAGTCGACTTCTTTTCGATTCCATTGTATTCCGGACATATTGTAATTGATGGAGATCTTATTGTTATCTTCTGAACCTGGAGATTCGGCGTCCCGAACTTCCATTGAGGGTTCATTAGATTGAGTCTCAGCCGCGGCTATGTCTGATATTGCAGGAATCCCGGTTTCGGTTATTGCACCTTTCTTTGATTTCCGGGGATTCTTATCTTTGGAACCGAGAGGTCTGCCCCGTTTGAGACGTGGTGCAGACTCTGTAGCAACTTGGGTCTGTCCCGTTGGGACAGCTATTCGTACTGGTGCATTACAAGCTGGGATGTACGATTTGGTTACTTTGGTCGGGTCAGCAAAGGAATCTGGCAATTGATTGGCTAGCTTTTGATAATGAATAATCTTTTGGATCTCTGAATCACATTCTAGAGTCCGAGGATCTTGCCAATTTAATGATGTTTGATTCCATGAAAGATCTTTGACCAGCTTGTTTGTCTCACCACCTAAAGAGGGATATACCGATTCATCGAATTGGCAATCCACATATCTGGCCTTGAAGAGATCTCCAGTGGTTGGCTCGAGATATCTTATGATGGTGGGAGAGTCAAAACCAACATATATTCCCATCCTTCTTTGAGGTCCCATTTTGGTTCGATGTGGTGGAGCAATGGGTACATATACTGAACACCCAAATGTTTTGAGATGGGAGATGTCTGGCTCATGACCCGAGAGTAGTTGGGATGGGGAATATTTGTGTTCACTAGATGGCCGGATGCGTATGAGTTCAGCAGCATGTAATACTGCATGTCCCCATGCTGAGGCCGGGAGCTTTGATCTCATGAGTAATGGTCGGGCTATCCATTGAATGCGTTTAATGAATGATTCAGCCAATCCATTTTGAGTATGGACATGTGCTACAGGATGTTCCACGGTTACCCCCATGGCCATACAGTAGTCATTAAATGCTTGTGAGGTAAATTCACCAGCATTGTCAAGGCGGATAGTCTTTAGTGGGAAGTCGGGGAAATGGGCCCGCAATTTTATGATTTGGGCCAAGAACCTAGCGAAGGCTTGGTTCCGAGAGGACAAGAGACAAACATATGACCAACGGGTCGATGCGTCTATAAGGACCATGAAGTACCGGAATGGTCCGGAAGATGGATGTATAGGTCCACAGATATCGCCCTGGATTCTTTCTAGGAAATGAAGTGTTTGTTTAGAGATTTTAACTGGTGAAGGCCGAGTGATCAATTTGCCTTGAGAACAAGCTGTGCACATGAGGTGTTGAGGATAAGCTCGGTTTTCTTTGAGGGTATGCCCTTGAGAGTTTTGAATTAGTTTACGCATCATATTTGCACCGGGATGACCGAGCCGGTCGTGCCAAATAGTATAATCAGTAAACCGGGCTTTGAGAGTGGTATTAGCTTCAATCATACTGACTTTAGCATGGTAAAGTCCAGTAGAGAGCGCGGGTATGGTTTCGAGGATTTGTTTATGGCCGTCTACGGTTTTAGTGACTAGGAGGGATTCTTTGTTCCCTTGACCTTGGGTTTCTATGTGGAAACCATTCTGTCTTATATCCTTGAAGCTCAGAAGATTTCTCTTCGAACTAGGAGAATATAGAGCATCTGGTATTTCAAGTTGTGTGCCATTTGATAGCAACACATAGGCATGGCCATATCCTTCGATAAGGTTTGAGGGACCCGCGATGGTGCTAAGATTTGCGGTTTGATAGGTTAGGTTTATGAAGTAACTTTTGTTTCTTAAGATAGTGTGGCTGGATCCACTATCTACGACTATGGTTTCCATTTGCTGGTGTGCTTTTCCACCTTTGGATTTCTGACAGGCTAATGAAACTGAGAGCTAATAGACCTCAGTTAGCCGCTACAAATTCCAAGGATTGATCACCAAAACTGGAGAAGCTGCTGGTTGAAGAAGGAAAAACTCGGATCTGGTTTTTTTTTCGGTTGATCGTCGTGTACTGTAAGTGTGCGTGAGGGCGCGTCCGACGTTGGATCGACAAACGGTTTTCACCAGTAGATTCGTCTCGTCGAGGGCTTCGATTTGATATGTAGATCGTCTTCTGGTTCCTCACGGTTTGGAAGATATGCGTCTTTTAAGTTTCGACTTGCTTTTAGGGTTTTGGTGGTGGCCGGATTTATTAGGATTTTTCGCTCAGAGAGTCTTATCGTGCTGATAACGTGTTGTGAAAACTTAGAAACTTTATTAATCACTGGAATGTATATATAGAGTACATAGGGAATCTAGATTAAGTACAATGCCCTGATGGGCCTAATGGGCCGGTATAAGAGTCCATATATGATATGTGTTATAACATACTTTACTTTCTAATAGTATTTTTTTGAGTTTATAGACATAAAAATACATTTTAGTCCTTCTCTGGAAAAATAAGTGTATCATAAACGAATTGGTTAAGTGGTTTTTGTCCTTTTCTTTTTATTTCCTTATCTCATTCTTTCTTTCTATATTACCGACATTTATTTCTCTTTCTTTCCTTCATACACAGACATCTCATTTTCTTCTTCTCTCCTTCACACTCACAAATATTTGCAAATCAGTGCTATCAAAATTCCTTTCTCAGATCTCTCTTCTTCTTCTTCTTCTCCACTTTGTTCTCTTTATTTATTTATTTTATCTTCCACCTCCACTACCACCACCACCACCATTGCCAAAACTTTTTATCCAATATCGCCGTCACAATCTCCATTGCCAAAACTCCTTGACTATGGCGGCATGTTTCAAGTTGTAATGACCACAGAAAAATTTATATATGGATATAGTCATATTAAAAAGATCACATGAAGGTGTCCACCTGATTTGTGTATATGACAATGGAGGTGGGATAAGGGTAGTCGCTTCTGGTGGATGTGTCAAAGAAAAGAGATATCAATGAAAATGGTCATGGTCATTAACCATATGGTTATCATTATACTTAATAACCTTTGTATTAAACTTAAATATAAGTAATATATATGGACATAACCATATCACATGTAAAATACTTATTAGTGACAACGACCACAACAGTATCCACAACAGTAGACAAGTTTATTAAAGAAAAGTGATGACATCATTTGGACGTCGATGATTGAATATAGCTATATGTTATATCCCAACGCAAACATGTACATGTCCATATAGTTGTATATTTATTTCGATATGGTTGAATATTAGCATGTTAGTTTAATAAGAGTGAACCATGGGTTCAAAGGAACAGTTATGTCCATCGTGTCTGCGCAACAATAACGCGTAAGATAGGTTCCAATGAATGTGTGGACATGTATCATAATCTCTAATCTCTGTATATGGATATATCCATTGCGAGATAACTTTACGTTTAGAGGTCTATTTAGTAAGAGCAAGGCTATGTGGATGTATCCATTTTTATTGTTGATTTGGAGTTAATGGTGGGGCCGTGGGGAGACCAGAAATAGTATGCTAAATAAAGATGAAATATGTTCAATACCATTATATGGAAATAACCATTACGAATGTGGATAATGAGACTATGGCCATGCTGCTAGAAACCCATAGATGCTGATACATGGCCGGTTGAAATTAGTGTATACACTAGCAGAGAGACATTTATTGGTGGACATGAGGACAACTATGTATATAGCCATTAAAAATTTATAGATATATGATACCAAATGATGATGGTAATGTGGACGTGAACATGTATGGTTATGGGTGGCTCAACTTGGAGTTTTCGATGGCTCGAGATCCGACATATATGAACACGATTCGCAAGGAAAGACAACACTGGCTTATTAATGGATTACATATGGATATAGCCATCTACATGTGTTAAAAGGTCAAATGGATAAACCCAAAATCTTCTCGAAATATTATGTATCTTCAAATTTCCACAAATGACAACTCATGACTTATCCACCCATATTGTGTCTACAGCTTTGTATCTATGTCCACGTGGATACACCCATATTGATATAAAGTTTAACGCATTGTATTTATCTGTGTGGATACGTCCATAAACTTTACCTCCATCGTTGGAGGAAGCAGAATTGGTTGAGGGGATCATCACTTATGGACATATAGAGAGGGATGCAACGCTTTGTGTCCATGTCCACATGGATACACACATATTGATTCAAATGCAAATCTGGACAAATCTTTGGTTGTGGCAGTTGGGAGACCACCATCATATGGTGGAAAGTAGCTGCGAACTCAGCGAGAGTTTGGGAGCTTTGTCAAGACAGGAGACCAGATCTATAAGAAATGAAGATGCAAAGAGAGATTAAGATGGAGTACAAGGAGAGGATGAACCAACTTAAGGAATATACATTAACCATGTTAGCTCAGGTCTATAACAATGAATACATAACCATGGATTAGATTATTGCATGGATAAGAACTGGTGGATACTTCCATATGACTGTGTGTGTGGATGTGACCATGTCTTGGATTTGCTATCACCGAGATCCGTTTTGATGAATCTACGAGCGAAGAAAAACAAAATCGCGATCACGATAAGCCAGATGAGCTTGTTGGTGAAAACGGCGAAAGCGGCTGAGAACGAAAGCGTTCTGGTGACGACTGAAGTGGTTAAGCTGACGAAAATCCAAGCACGAAAGCGTTCTGGTGACGACTGGATGTGACCATGTCTTGGATTTGCTATCACCGAGATCCGTTTTGATGAATCTACGAGCGAAGAAAAACGAAATCGCGATCACGATAAGCCAGATGACCTTGTTGGTGAAAACGGCGAAAGCGGCTGAGAACGAAAGCGTTCTGGTGACGACTGAAGTGGTTAAGCTGACGAAAATCCAAGCACCAACAGGAGTGGACCAAGGACGAGCTATGAGGAGATTATTTGATGAAAAGCTCTGCAGATCTAAAGTTTCTGAGCTGCCAGAGACGCTTCACAGCGGAGATGCTCCACAGCAGAGAGTCTTTACCTCTCCTCATATCTAAATTAGAAAAGATGTAGAAAACTATAAGAAAAAAAAGGAACGAAGAAAGAAGAAAAAAGAATAGAAAGAAGAAGAAAGTGGAGAAGAAGAAAGAATAGAAAGAAGAAGAAAGAATGCAAAAAGCACGAAAGAAAAAGGAAGAAAAAGAAAAAAGAATATTGGTTTGATGTGGTTTGATGATTATGGTTTAAGGACATAAGGGCCATGATGTCTTTTTGCTAGTGAAAGTGCTTTGAAAGAGTTAGTTTAATACAAAGTGCTATAGAGTGTAAATATTAAGTAAAAAAAGTCATAAATTGTAATTTACTCTTTATATAATGAAGCAGACGACAAAAAAAGATAATGTTTAAAAAAAATAATTATAAAACATTGAAAAGCTATTTTTATTAGATTCTATCCTTAGTTTTTAACATGCTTGTTGGTAATAACGAAATCACTTTTCAAAAACTTGAAAGCAGACAAGTTTAAGAAATACTTCCCTCTGTTTTGAAGTAATTGATGTTTTAAGGGTGAACTAGATTTTAACCCCGTGCGTCCGCACGGAAAATTTTTATTATTTTTATTTATTTTAAAATAAATTGCATTTTTAAGATATAATTTATTTTTATTATTTATTTTTTTAAATCAAAAATTGTTATCATGTTTAATTTTAAACAGTAAAATTTGTATATTAGTAGAATAAGAATATGCGTTAATTAAGTATACATTAATCTGATGTTAATTATAAACTTTATTACTATGTGAATTTATATTTACACATTTACACTCTATATATCTATGAATTTGCTAACCCGTCCGTTTAGTTATCTTAAATTATTTTTAATATCTTACATGTTTTGACAAACTAATCCGTATAAAACTATAATTTTAAATGTATAACCCTATAAACATTTACTAATATTGAATATTTGGACCAATTAATTATGAAAAAATATAATAAAATATTTATTTATTATTTATGCTATTACAAAAATTTCTATATATATATATATATATATAAACTGGCTAACCTGTTAGTTTAATTGTCTCAAATCATCTTAATATCTTACATGTTTTAATAAATTAACTCATGGACTTTAGTATATATATATAACTCTAACCAGCTCAATCATATTATTGTATAATATAAATATTTATTAATCTAAAATATTTGATATTTTAGACTGATTGATTATGATAAAATACAATATAATATTTATTTATTATGCAGTTTTATGGAAATATATTATTTAAATTTAAAATTTTAAATGAATCTTACCTGTATTTAAGGAATTCTAAAGTATTAAAATTATTATCTAATTTTTTGTAATAAAATTTAATTATAATTTTTTGATTTCTTTAAATTTAAATTAAATTGAATGCAGATTTTCGTAATTAAGTTTAATTAAATTTCTAATAGTTTGAAATTTAAATTAAAGATAACCTAGATTTTAGGAAACCTAAAAATATTTAAATTAATAACTAATTTTTGGAAATTAAATATAAAAAATAAAATAAAATATCATAAAAAAACTTTGAGAGTGTTTGGAAACAAGCACTAAAAGTGCTTCTGTTTTAATATAATAGATTTCTGTTCTCAAATAATTGATGTTTTCAGTTTCCAATACAAAATTAAAAGATTTTTATTGTTTTAAATTTTCTGTATTCTGCATATTGTTTTTTTTATTGGTTGATTTATATTTGAATGGATAATAAATGATATTTTTAGTATTAAAAAAATAAATATTAAATGAATATGTGTGCAAAAATCTTAAACACTCACGTAAAAAAGTAATTTAATATGATGGAGTCAAGCCCACAAGCTCATATAATTAGGATTCTTAGAGCTTGATGCCAATATAATGTAATCAAACCCACACACATGTATTTATAATCACATGGATAAACCTAGAGAGTTGTTGTGTACCTCTCCTCCTCCACTCTCACCCTATCAATCAAGTTAGACCATTTTGATATTGGTATTTTAAATAAGCTTTGGCAATTTTTATGTTCTTGCACAATAAAACTCTAAGAGCACGAATATGTTTTTGCTTTGAAACTTCTAACATTGTATAGGAGCCAAAATGGTTCATGGGTCTTACTTTCATCATCTTCTACCCTCCACATACTTTGTCTGTGTGTGAGCCTCATCCGGATTTGGAAGCATGCCGTGAGCAAGCCAAAAACTCCTCTTGCTACCTCCAACAGGAATCAACTTTCTGATTCCAAGATGGATTGGGGGATGAATCCAACATAAACCAAGGATTTGTTAGTAAAGATTCACGAATCAAAAAAGGGTGTGTCTTTTTTTCTTCTACGATTTTCAGATTCTTGAAACCTATGTTAACATCCAAGATATGTTCTATGTGAGAGCTTGTTTTGGGTTTGAGCCGCCACTGGTGTCCATGTAAATGCATGTGATCACAATTTTCTCAAGACAATGAGGCGATTCCACTGAACCAAGAACTGCAGAAGTTTAGAATTTATCACAAAACATTACATCTCGATGACATTTATAATTGATTATTAGAAGAAAGACATAGTTCCTCACATAGAGGTGATAAACTCATTATCATCTACCATATCCATGATCTTGGCTTTCGAATTCACCACCCTACAATTCAATCTAATTTCCCCTTGTTTCCCGGTTATAGGCGAAAGGTCTCCCATCCTTTTCATTGCCTCCACGAACGCATTGAAAAATTTCTCTTGACCATCGGCGAATGCTCGGACTAATGGGATAGTGTCTGAAGCATCCGAACTAGAGAATAACTCTTGGTCACTCTGAATAAGACCTTTGTTCTCTTTCAGATTCACGTAGAATTTGTTGTCAAAAACTGTTGGTGTACGTAAATCAAAATCCACCAAGACACTTTGGTTTCCATTGCGAGGACATTGTTTTCTAAGTGTACTGAGGTAAGATTTATCAAGGGTTGGGTCAGGTAAACCGGAGTCGTTGAAGTCGTAAAGCCGGTCCATTATAAACTGACATTGGCTTTTACCAAAAGTGTGACCACCTAAACCAGTAATAATATAGAGTTAGTAATTAATGACAACAAATATTGCTTATGTCTGAATCTTTTCCAATGATTACGTACCGGAAAGAGCAACTAGATCAGAAGGGCGGTCGAGTCCGACATTTTTGAAGCTTTCCTTAAGTTCCTTAAGGGTAAAGAATGGAGCTGGAAGATTTTTATTAGCAAGATCCATAAACCCTTTTAAACCGTCTCTTCTTCCACTTGCAACCTTCCATGAAGGACCCCCCGCCTATTTGTATATGTGACAATTTAAAGTAAACAATTATGTTTGATCTATTATTTTTTGGTCTTCTTATAAGTTAACATAACGGCTTAGAAACAGCTTCTAAATGGCAAAAAGAATAAAGATGTATATCTGAGTAGCATTGTAAAACGATGCATACCAAAACGACAGACTTTTGAGCTGCGATGGTTAGCAAATCAGCACATGAAACAGTTCGAGGACATGCTTTCTCGACGGCAGCTTTCATTCTATCGATCACATCAAAGCCTCGAGCTGAATTTGCGTTCCCAAAGGCATCTTTTTCCGTCCTAAACGATGTTGTGTTATCTAACAATATCGATGCATCACATCCCTGTTACAAAACAAAACCAAATTTCACTCGTCAGATTCAGTCTGGGACCATCTTCATACTTGAATCATCTATAAACAGTTCCACACTGTCACTATTAACTTATTCAACAACTGTACGTTACGTTTTTTTTATTGTTATCATCAGTATTACTATTACTCCTATTAATTTCATTAGCGTACGTAAAACAATGAATCTAGGGTGTTCCATGTTTTTAGGCAGTATCGATATTCAAAATATAGTAGTCAAAGCTACACAGAGCTGTCTAGCATGAGTAACTTAATCACTGTGTCAGAAAAAACTCATAAAGAGATATTCTTACAAAGTCTAGATTTTTGAATTTCGATGGTGAAGAGAAAACTAATAATTGATTTGATCTAATACACAAATAATTATTAAAAATCCATTTTTCTTGATATTAAAAAAAGTTAGATTTTGAGTTTACTAATTATTAACTTATCATCATTGACTATACTTTCACGACAGAATCAGGAACTTAAAAAAAAAACTACAAATCTATGTAGAGATATATCCTAATCAAATCCAATTGTATCAAAATATTAAATTTAAAACAGATAAAACGTAATAAAATTATGAAAAAAATAAACTATAGGAGATGAAAACATTAACAAGACAGTATAAGCATTAAGTATCATATTTATCATTAATCATTTTTTAAAAAAGTATATCAGAAATTCAATATCCATAAAACAGTAGTATAAGCCATAGTATAAGCCATACTACTAGTTTAGCTATATGAAGACGGCGGTTTACAATTGAAGTGTTTTAAACAATTAATTTGACCTAATTATGAACGTGATTATGTTGAATCTAGTGGTATCTTACATTGACAAAGCAGTCGTGGAAGTGAAGACGAAGGATGCTCGCTGCAATGCGAGGGTCTGATCTCAACGCATTGACAATGGTTTTGGTTGCAATGTCAAATACTTGCGGACATGTTTTGTCATAAAATGAAGGGCTTAGTTGAGCTTGGGACAATGATACATGAAGAAGAAGGAGAACTCCCATTTTCATTAGGATTGTCAAATCAAATGAGGAAGAAGAAGAGGAATGCATTTTCTTAGGTCACTAAAAGGAATTAAGTTGTGTGAATGAATGTTCATGATAACGAATCCTTTTATAGGCCAAATGGTCTAACTTGGAGGCCTAAGGGTCTAACGAGTCCTTTTTTTTTTTTTTTTAAAAAGAAATGGTCTAGTTTGGTGGCTTTCCTGTAGTAGACCATTTAAGATATTTCTGTTCAAGTGGTGTATACATAGTCTTTTCTTATTATTATTCTTTTTAGTCGTCACATGCATAGACGCCTAGTGTATTACATATATAAGTGAATACAATCTGTTATGGTTAATAATTCTTCGCAAAGTGGTTCAAATTAAAGTTTCTGTTTTCTTTGGGCAAAGTGGGTTGAAGTTTAATAAAAACAAATGATCTACATCTGGAAAATCGGAGGCATCTAAGCAATTGTATACGATACAGCATATGGAACAGAGTAATTACAGCCAATCTTTTGATGATCATCTTCGAAAATATCAACAGAGGGATTCGAAACGCAATCAGGGAAATAAGAGTTTTTTTTACCCGATACTTTATTTATTAATGTCGATTACAATAGGTCAATAGTCTGTGACTGTGACTCGTGCCGTACAGTTCATAAAGAGATTACACAATGTGTAATTCGTAGGTTACAAGAAGTTGAAACAGATAATAATCGAATCTCCGCTCTGATTACTAAGATAATCGTCTCTAAGGAGTTAACTAGCCTTGTAACGTACACCTCTACTACATAACCTTTAGTCGATTCTTTCAATGATCATCTTCAAAGATATCGACATGAAGACTCGACACACAATCACGGCAAAAAAACGTCGTCTGGTGATTTAATGGATCCATGGCTTCAATAAAGGCAATCATGTTCTCCTTAAATTTTTTGTTTCCTTTATTTTGTTGCTAAGGAAACAATACATTGGTTAAGCTTTTGTAAAATATTATCTGATATATATATTTTATAATATTCATAGTAAAGAAAAAAAAAATTTGTTACGTGTTTCGAATTAATACCGATTATTTTTGGTTCTTGCATTTTCAATACATTCAAACTCAGATTCTCTATACTACTGAAATTATTATTGTGTTGTCTTTTGAAGTGGACATTTTAATTTAGTCATATATGTATTCACATGGAGTTGATGCACTTATCGTACGTCCGTGTTGTAGAAAAAAAAAATAGTAACTAACCAGATAAAATAAGAAAACAAGTAGTGTATTTTAGTCTTTTTTTCTTATTATGTTTTGTCGTCAGATACGTAGTCTACTAACTTAAAAGAGAATAATTGATGTTTTATATAATAAGATTCTGGACAAAGTGGTTTAAATTGAAAAGTTTCTGTTTTCTTTCGGCAAAGTGGTCTAAAGTTTAAGAAGAACAAATCAACATACCACGTGTTAATTTCAAACTAATTTCAAACTAGGAGAGAATCCGCGCATATGCGCGGATCTTGTTTTAATTTATATCTTAAAATTTTTTATTAAATTTTATGTTTACTATTAAGGTTTGTTTAATATTTATATTTTTCTTGATTTTTTCTTGATGATACATTATTTGTAATATTTTTTATAGCATTTGTGTCAAATAGTCTAATTTTTTTTCCAAGATAATAAGGGATTAAAAATTTACTATTTTTAATTTTTGTATAAAACATAGTACTTTACTTAAAAATATACATTTAATATCAGAGAGAAATATTTATCTATTCTTTGATCTTCATATTATTTTTATTCTTGTAAATCTTACTAATATAATACTTGTTAATTTTCTTAATTTACCATTTTGAAATTTTTTCGTTATATATATTTTATTGATTTATTTATTTTTTTCAATTTTTAAAAAACTATATATGTCTTCTAGGTCCACCTAGCGCCTAGACATAAAATTGGAGATTAATCGAAGATAACTTTTTATATTTATTCTAATTATTTTTAATATTTATTTATTTTTTAAGATTAATTTTGTTATATTTAGACATGTATGAACTAAAGTTTGTATAAATATGTGCATAATGATAAACTTAAAGACATATTGCTGTGCTAGAGACCCAAATTTAACTCAAACATATAAATACCTATGATAATTTATTAAAAGTGGGTCTTTTTGGTTTGTCCCACATCGACAAACTTGGATATTGAGAGGGGAAACTGCACTATAAATAAGTCTATATCATTCTTAAGATATCTCGTTTAAGTTGTGGTCCATACCAAAGTATGAGTGCGTTACGCTCCTCTTGGGCCTGTAATTGGGCCCGATTTTTAATTTAATTAATCAAGTTTTCTAAGAAATCGGTTTTAGGTAATTTAAAATCGATTAAGCAGCTTAACTTTTTAATATAGAGGACACGTAGCGCTCTTTCCAGTGCTGATGTGTCACTCAACTGGAGAGAGTTAGCCAACTTTTATATATAAGATATAGTATCCCTTTTTTTTCCTATTTTTAATACATGTATGTAAACTCAGTACTCTATATTTATGGAATGACGATAGTGTTGTCACTTGAACTTGAACATTTAGATGTAGTTATTCAGCTTAGTCTGTGTATATTTATATGTTGTATTTGTAAAATTCAAGAGTCCCAAAAAAAAGGAGGAATTTATGCTTATTGATTTTCTGTTTTCTCATACATAACATGATAGCAAGGAATAGATAAATACTAGAGGGAAGAAGAAGAAGTTTCCTAAACTGGGTATTTCCACAATTTTTTTTTACACTGATGTATTAATCTACATTTAAACAGAATATTATTGTAAATTAGTATTTGTTTGGACAAATTTTAACCGGTTTGTACGTGAGTAATTCTACGGAATAACAAAAAAGAGTAAAGTTTTAATAATCAACAAATATCAAGCTACAATGAATCAATATCGCAAATCTAAATAATCTGGTATCATCTGTCATTCGCTATGAAGAGGTCTGGTCGCTCGATTCTCTGTTGCTATTGTACCTAGTTATTAAAGTAGAGCTTTTAGGGTTTTTAGTGGTACGTGTTTGTATGTCCGTCTTTGCTCCAAGACTTTTCTATTTATAGATTTATGTCAATCCTGATCCTTATTGGATTGGGCTTTATATGTCGGTCTCTCCATAATTCTCTTTGAATTAGGAGTTTATGTCGGTCGGTCGCTCCAACCTTTTCTAGATTCTCGGATTACTCAAGAACGTACACCAATGACCTATATTTAATCAATGGTCGATGCTAAACCGATTGACAAAGATGAATGGTCGATGTTGAGACTCTCTCACTAGTGACTGTTCGTCACTCCCTTTCTTTCAACAGGTATATGATCACAGTGACCGTTCGTCACTCATTCTCTCTTACCAGTGACATGATCACAGTGACCGTTCGTCACTCCTCTCTTAGCAGTGACATGATCACAGTGACCATTCATCACTCAATTTTTCTTAGCAGTGACATGACTGCACCGACCGGATAGTGAATTAATTTCACCCAGCAACTTCCCCCCTACTCTTTAATTTCTTATTTAGAATTTGGAGAGTAATTTAGTCTTTCTGATCGCTGGTCGATGTGCGACAACATTTCTTGTCTATTCGAACCTTTTTTGGTTCTACCATATGTCGATTCCGTGGTCATTCCTTATTTAGGATGGACAAGCAGATTTAATTAAGAATGAACGGAGCTTCCATGTCGCATGAGGCATGTTACATATGTGCGGAGTGATAAGCGTTGATGTACCTTCTCTTTCATTAACTGATGGTACATTCTGACCTCTTAGGTCTAGTGTCGATGCTCAAATATAAACACTTCGTTGTTTCCTTCATTTCATATGGCTGACCATCATCTTCCCATTTAACACACAGCTTCTTTGCTAAAGGTGCGGAAAGTCATTGGTACCTCGTCCTTGGAAGGTTTATTGTTGGAAGATCATCATCATTAGTTCATCGGTGGTAAGTCATTATTGGAAGGTCCTTGGTCGTTGTTCAATGTTGAGAGTTCATCGTCGATCATTGAGCTCGTCATCGATTGTTGAGAGCTCGTCGTTCGTAAGTAAGATCGATCTAGATGATCTTTGTGGGAGGTCATCATTCGTAATTTCATTGTTTTAAGGTTGACATGGGAGGTCATCATGTGAGATATCACTCGTGATAGCTCGTCGGTGTGAGCTCACCGGTGAGAACTCGTCAATGGGAGGTCGTCAGGAGTGATGGCCTACGTTTTGGTAGCATCTTGCACTTTCGCAGTGACCTACCGTCTTTAAAGTCTCTTCTGGTCTATCTTTTTTTTTTTAAATTTCTTTTACTTATGTCACTTCTTTTTTTTTTTACTTTGCTCATCGCTTCCCTCTCTTCTTCTTTTTATTGGGAGCTGTCGCTCCCCATTTTTAAATTTTCGTCCCCTTTTCTCCTCTTCTGGACATACCTCATATCGTTCCTTTGTTAACATTTGTTACTCTTCATAAGAAGAGGAGTATTGAGAGGTTGTTGTTAAATCAGCCAAAAGTGATGGAAAGACTCTGCTGGTATTTCCTGATTCGTTCACAGGTTTTGGCGTTAGCGCTTTTGCCCCCGACACTGACCTGTTGTCTCGACCTGTGGTCATATTTGGCCGTATCTTTTGAGGAGCCACCTTAATTCCTTATTTAAGGTCTTTCCTAGAAATTTTTCTTTTGGAGCTCTGTTGCTCGTGGCGTTTACTTTTGTTTATCTGGTAGGATGTGTCAATCTTTTTCTAAGCACTTGTCGTTCGTGATGCAACGTTTGTTGACATCTTTGTTTTACATTTTGGATGATGACGTTATCTAGGCAGTTTGTAACCGTTCTTTCTGATGTTGCTTGACTTGATGTGGTGTCGAGGGTTGTCAAGTTTTACCCTAAATAAAATCAATAGCCGCAAGTGCACAGCTGATTGATTGTAGTAATTAGTGATCGAATCCACATGGAAGGAGGATCTTTCCTGCAAAAGCCTTCGAAAGAAATATAAAGTAAGGAAGTCTAGAACCAGGCGAGTTTTGTGAGGGTTTTGGTGGTGTGTTCAAAACGTAAAAACAAATCTTAAAAAGAAAATACGGTAATTAAAATGACCTAATA